AATGGAAACTACTATACTGGGTTTTGTGACAGAAAGACCCTGAGAGTATGGGCCTCTGATCTGTCGGATGGCATCTTTGCATCTCGCTACTGTGTGACGATTCGTGTGCCTCCTTTAACAACCCAGATGAATGGCCAACGGTTGCGCATCCGATTTTATATTGCAGGATGTGCTTGGAGCTCGAGCTGCTTTCGTGCTGCTCCCGCCTGCAGCGCTAAATTCCGAATCTTGCCTGCAGTACGGTTTGGCATTGGAACATATTGGAACATTTCAGGGAGATGTAGAAATGCAGAGGATGCTCAACATTGAAGGGGCTCTGGGTAAAGCATTCAGCATGAAGTTAGGTGGCTACAGCCCCACATGCCAGCTTTAGCTGGCCTGAGTCCTGGAGTTCTGCCGATAGAACTGCATACCAGTAGGTTTGCATGCGTAAAGTCTGCATAGGTTTTCAAAAACTTGGGGTCTTTTTTTCTTTTTTTGGGCACGCCATTTTATAGAAAGCCCCGTCTAAAAGTCTTGCAAGAGGATGATGCCATGCAGACACGTTAGTGCAGGGCAAAACCCTTTTGTGGAGTCTGCATTAGAGAATGCAGGACCTTGAAACCCCATGAAATCCCCTTCAATGCCTCATATAACTCCTCATGATCACTTGAAAGCCCTCTACAAATAGGATACTTCCTCCACTCTTGTATTTAGTAATAGTATACCCTTACTCAGGACACGATAGACGATCGTTAAAAGGTGGGGGCAGTATCCAATAGCCACCATACATCTGTAGGGTCCAAGAGCACCCCTCCTGTTCGGAGAAATGCTTACGACCCTCCCCGTGATAATAAATCTCCTCTTCAGTGATGAAAAGAAATTCCCTAGGATTATCAGTGTATTATGTGGAACCCTCTAAACCCTAAACCCTAAACCGTATTATGAGGGGGATGAGATGTAAACCACCCATTCTCCAAGGACTCCCTCGCCATCATCAGTGGGCCACCCAAGCAGCAGCCAGTGGTGCATCTGGGAGGCGCGGACGGTATGGGGTGTAGGCCTTGTGGTACCCATAAACCCTAAACTCTAAACGGTTCTGCGTTTAGGGTTTGGGGTTGAAGGTGCGGAGTTCAGGGTTCGGATTAAAGGTTGAGGGCCTGGCGCCTGTGAAGTTTCCGTTGTTGGGAGCCTAAACCGTAAGCCCTAAATTCTAAGCCCTAGGCCCTAAACCGGAAAACTCTAAGCCCTAAACCCTAAACCCT